TTTTAGCATTAATTTAACAAGTTTTTTACAAAAAATTTTTGCAATTTTTGCAAATGAATAAGAAAAAATAAGTTAGATTTTTGCATTTGTTTTCAAAAAAATCACGAAAAAACTTGCATCTAACACAAAATTTTGTTGAAAATTTTTGCACACTTGTTGAAAAAATCAAAACAATTTTTGCATCTTGTAAAAAAGTTTAATTAAATTTTTGCAAACGTGTTGACAAAATCAAACCAAAATTTGCATCTGAAAAACTCTTGATTTAAATATAAACAATTTTGACAAGATTTTTATTAACAAATATTCAATTATTAATAGAAAAATTGATACGTTCACTATTTACAGTACCAAAACCATCAATAAAACAATCAACAATTTTCAACAAATCAGTCACATACTTTGAGTTTTGAACTTTTCGAATCCTTTCCAAAAAAGTAGATTCAAGAGTCTGAGTGGACGCAAGTTCCTGATCAGAAATGAAAAAATTGCAGAGATGCTACTTTGATTATTTTTCCTTCTTTTATTACTTATATCGGCAATATTTCTTATTTTTATAGCAAACAACTTTTGGTCATTTGTTTTTGCGATTGCTTTTGTGTATATTTTTACTTATTTGGAAGACTTAAGTCCTTAAAAGGTCCCTCTGATTGGATATGACAACTTGAACAAAAATAAAAAATTTTGTGATTGGAAACGACAATGTGTAAAATGGAGCTTTGTTTCCAATTGGACACGAGTTTTCTATAAGAGTTCTATAAAAGGAAACTAAAATCTGATTGGACACGACTACAATCCAAATAAGGAAAATCCATTCTGATTGGTTAAACCCACACATTCCAGTTGAAGGTAGCCCTCTCTCTTAACTAAAAATCATTTTATTTTCAACTTAACTACCGTCAACTACCTCCTCTCTCAGCTCTAAACATCCTAATTTCAACTTATTTTTTGTAAGGTTCCCTTTCTTCTCAGTTCTTTTTTGTTTTTTCCTCTTTTAGTCATCTTATTGCTCAAAATGATCTTCTCAGTGCAAAACAGCAACCTTATGTACTCTGTAGAATTTTCGCCTGATCTAGTACAATTTCAAGTGCGAGAAACAGTCTCTGGAGTTTTTCTAGCACAAATGGACATCCCAATCCAAGTCTGGCACATGGTGGAAGTGATGCGAAGGGATTTCAGCGAGCATCATATCATGCAAGTTCCCATCACAGAAAACCAACTTGGAACAATGCAAATGATGGGAGAAGTTTCTGATCATGTGGGAATGAACTATCCCGAGATTCCGGACTCAAGATTTGTGGCTCAACCAGTCGACGACATCCTCTTTCCTTGGGAGGAGGAAGGATCAGTCGAAAACCCCATCACAATAGATGAAGATGAGGGTTTCTCAGAAACAATGACACCTCCAGTTCCACAACAACCACTACAACCTCGTCCAGCTCTGCGTTCTATAGAGAACCTCCAGAACTCTTCTGCTGCTCGAAAGCTCTTTGATTAAATGTTTTTGTAAATAAAGGTTGTTTGGTTTTGACTTCGTTTTCTGTAATTAATTTCTTCAATTTCACTTTAATTATGAGAATAGATGAGAGGTTCAAGGTAAACCATTGAAAAACAATTAGAACTTAGTTAAGTGCTCCGAACTCGCACACATGTTAAAAAATTTGATTAATTTTTGTACAAAAATTCGGAAAAACACTGGAAAAACTGTACGCAAGTAAAAAGTTACCTAATCGATATTGCATCTTGTACACACTTTTAGCTTTTTGTAGAAAAAATTGAAACACTTTTCGCATTTTGTCGAAAAAAGTAAAACACTTTTCGCATTTTGTCGAAAAAATTAAAACACTTTTCACATTTTGTCGAAAAAAGTAAAACACTTTTCGCATTATGTCAAAAAAAAAATTGAAACACTTTTTACAACTTGTTAAAAAAAGTTGAAATGATTTTTGCAACTTTTTGAAAATCAAAAGAAATATTACATCTTTCTTACATGTTTGAAAAATTTTTTGCAAATGTTTTTGACAACGGTGATTTTGTTTTCGGTAATTAATGGTAACTTTGTAAACATATGAGAGAAAATAGATGGAATATCAGAAGTTTTTTATTGAAAAATTGACATGATCACTATTTACAAATCCATAACCATCAATAAAACAGTCAATTATTTTTAACAAATCATGTTCATATTTTGAGTTTTGTACTTTACGAATTCTGTCTAAAAATGCTGAACCAAGAGTTTGCGTAGATGCAAGTTTTTGATTAGAACTTAGATAATGTTTTTTGAACTTTTTGCGAACAAGTCGTTTCCTTGATACGCTTGGTGTTTTTTCTGCTCCTTTCCATCGTAAATTATGCTGCACTCCACAACTAAGCTGATTGAAGACTTCCCCACTTGATGTGACAATACTCGAAAAGAATCTGTGCTTGTACAAAGTGTAAAGACAATCAATTTCTTGATATATGTATTGATATTTGTCTAATCTCTGAAGAATTTGGCTAAGGGAAGTTCCAATTAAAATTATATGAAATTTGCAATTTCCCAAGGAACAGAAAGAATCGTGAGTAGAGAAGCAAAAATCTTTGGTTACTATGTATTTTTCGTAAAAATCGTTGGAAACAGAAATAAACAATGATTTACTATTATAATCTGAATAAAAGCTGGGAAGAGCTTGACACATAGCGGCTGCCATTGGGAAAAATGAATTTTGCAGAAAATGGTGGAGTTATATAGTAGTAGTAACGCCTACGCAGCTTCCATATAGGGAAATCCTTCCATATTTGGTACTACTTCCATATATGGAAATGGCGATGACTCAAACTGCTTACTTTCATTTTCATTTAAACTCAAAGTCATTTCTCTCATTTCTCCTCATCTGATCAGTTTGTTCTTCAAAATGTACTCGAGAAAAGTTGATAGTTCCAACTATATTGAATTTTCAAAAAATCAAAAAAGAATTGGGAGATTGGTTCCAAAAATCCTACAAGGGAAAAATATGCTTGGAACCGTGCTTTCAACTATTAAAAATAAATGATTTGGGACAATTTGAAAAGTCTCAACAAGTCTATCTTAGTGAAAAAGAAGGCGAAGCAATATCCGCAATACGGAATACTATTATTCACGATGCTGAAAATCTTGGACTCGTACCTATATATGAAGCCAAATCTGGCAGAGAATCAACGATGGACCAGGAGCTCGACATCTGTAATAGAGTATATGAAATAGCAATGTACAACATGAGGAGGGTGTGTGTCACAATCAAGAAGTACAACGTGAGCAAGCCACCCTACATTCAGATTCGACTCTTCACTGCAAAGGAAAATGAAGACTTGAAGCAAGTTGCATATGTCAACTATACTTTGAATGAATTCAAAGAACTTTCCCAAATATTGGGAGACTCTATGTTTGTTGATAATTGTAAACCTCAGTAAAGCTTTGTGATATTTTGCATGTTTAGTAATTGAGATATTATTGGTTCAAAACTATTTTTTCTCACTAAAGTGTATATTTAGAGCTATAATATCTGAGGAAAAGTCAGACAAAACATACAATTTTATCGAAATTGACATAAAACACTAACCAATTATGAAATGATTTTCCAGTATTTATTTATGAAATTACAGATAAATTTATTTAATAACAGTTTTTATCAAAGTTTTAAATAATTTTTGCCTCAATTTAGGAAAATTACAAACAAGAATGTATATTTAGTTGAAAACATTATCATTTTTTTTTAAAAGATTTTTTGAATTTCATTGGTTGTTTTCAATTTTTTTCTGCCTTAGTTTGAGGTTTTTATTGGCTACATGAATTTCCTTGAAACTAATTAGACTCTAAATCATTAAAAAATGTTTACGGTGACTGTTATTTCAACATACTTTAAAAATGATAAAACAATTCGAGTTTTTTAAGTTTCTTCATATATTTCAGTAAGAAAAATGTTTCCATCAAAAGCGTTTTCAATGTCTGAATTGAACATTTATCAAATTTTAAAATTGAACTACTACAAAAAACTACAAGAGTGGTGGACAGATGAAGTTGATGGAGATTGTATTAGTTTTAATTTGTATAGAAACACAGAAAGTTCAATAGTTTTGTTAAAAAGATGGAGTGGAGATTACAAAAAAGAAGAGTACTGTCAGATTTATCAACAATGTTTTTATTTAGAAGAGTTAACTCAGATTGGGTGGTTGATCAGTAAAAAACAAAACAATGGAAGAGCCTATGAAACAGAAATTGGAGATAAGGAACATCAATTCGATTACTGTTTTGAATTTGATACAAATACAAAATCCAGATTTGTCAGAATATCTTTTGATCGTTTATTCAAATTTAATAGACTTCCGGTTGTTTATACTACAATATACCAAAAAGAAAACGATAAAAACGTATATTTTGGTAATGTCTTTTTTCATTGGTTAGAAATAGAACAAATCGGAAAAATTTTGATCGAAATTTCAAAATTTGAATTAAAAATCGAAAAAACAATATAAAATAGACAAAAAATCTCATTTATCAAACTTCAAATCTTAGTTATGTTGGAAAAATTCAATTAAATTTATTGATTAAGAAATTTCATAAACATAGTCTGGTTCTGATCTACAAAGTGTTTAAAATCGGTGATTACTTCATTCTGATTGGTTATTAACACAAATAATGTCTGTGAAAGTATCCTCAAAATCTACAAAAGTTGAAGAAATTGTTGAAAAATTCATGAGAAAAAGAGCTCAACTCTGATTGGTTGACTTTAAATTTCTTGAAAATTTCATGACTTTTGAAGCTCAATTCTGATAGGTTGACATTGAATTTGTTGAAAATTACATGACTATTGAAGCTCATTTCTGATTGGTTGATATCAGAAAAGATAAAAGTTTCCTTGTAATTAATGCTCGATTCTGATTGGTTGATACTTTTAAAAATTCCATGGTTAGAGTGGATAATTTTTATTTCAGCTAGGCTAAATAGCATATCCATTCTGATTTTCTGTCTCGTTAAAAAAAATTGGTTAATAAGTTTGCTGTTTTTATTTACTTTTATTCATTTTTTGAGGCTATTCAACTCACCTTATCTAAAAATTTGGTACATTTTAAATCTCCCATTTAATTTTTCATTACTATTGAGATGCCTTCACTCAATAGAAACGAAAGAGTTGCATGTCTTGAATGTGGCAGGGATTACACTCACAAAGATGCATCAAGACATCGTAGAACATGTGGTGTTTTGAAGTGTTCTAATTGTAATTTTTATACTTATAGCAGCGAGGAACTCGCTAATCATTTCAAGAAGAAGCATTCTCAGCACAATATTAAGTTATGTGCTCAGCAGACTCCAAACAAACTTCAGTAAAAGGTAAAACTTTTAAGTTTTTTTTGAAAAACTTAGAAATTACTATGATTATTAGTTTTTACTGAATCTGAAAAGTCTCAGCAATTGTAACAAATCAAGTCAGTAATTATACAGTGGTTTCATTACATTACCTGAACTATCATTTATTTTTTTATTCAAAGGTTTTGATTGATGTTAAAGACAGCAAAAATCGAGTTCAAATCGTCGTGAAGCTTTCCATGGAACTCGATCCGAAAACTTTTAATCAACAGTAAAAACTCCATTGATTGCAAGCTTGCGGAGATTTGTTGTGATAAATTTGTAGTAATGTGCATAACATATGCTAATGAGTATTTAAGTATTCACCTAAAAATTGTAAAACTTGGATATTTGGAAAACATCAACTAATTGAAAGGTTTTTTGTAGTTGCTATTTAAAAGTTTTCCTTGTTTTGTGCTTGTAAAAGTGTTCATAGAGCAGAGCTTTTTAAGCAGATAATGTGGTTTGACTTATTAAGAATAATGTTTTTCTATTGATTTTTTGATAATTTCAGAAAAGAAATTAATAAATGACCTGGAAAATATGTTTTTTTTTGCTAAACTTTGAAAGTTTCAAGATAATGATATACATCATTCCAACTAAAAATTTAGTCTAAAATAGAAATTCAGATTTAAAACAGCATTATACAGTTATGAGCTTGAGAAAATCCTTTAAAGCTTTTTAGTAAAGGATTTATGGTATTAATTCAGCTTCGGATTATTGATCGTTCGTTGAAACGATACATTTTTCCATCTAAAATTCAATTTTCAAGTAAAAATTTGCTCAAATTGGATTCATTTGGTAGATAGTAGATGAAGCAGAAACTGAGAAAATGCTAAAATGAGATAAGAACCCAATATAATCCTTAAGAGATTTGAAATATTTTTACTAAAATTTAGCTTATAATGTATATCTTGAGAAAAAATCCGACATAAAAATTCTCAAAGTCTTATATTTATCCGTAATTCATTAGAAAAAATTGTTATCATTTGATATATTTGGTACTTTATATGAAAGATCAAATGTTTTGAGGATAATATTTGAAAAGCAAACCCAATTCGACATCTTTTGGAAGAAGATACATAAAGCATAAATCGAAAACTTGCTTTCAAGATCTACTTTTCCTTGCTACATACATACACAATACTACATAGAATATACAACACTATATACAATACATAACTACGCTTTTACTACATAGAGTTTTTTTTCTTAATAAAAATCGGAAAATTACACAATTGTTCCAGTTTGAACCTTGATTTGCTTTGCTAAATCAATTTTTTGAGATTCGCTCTTTCAGAAGTTGTTTATATTGTAGATGTTAGGAACTAGGTTCTCTTGCGTATTTCTGGAGATTTTCAGATTATAACTAATAGAGCTGCTCCTAATTTGTTCTTAGATCGTAAAAATACACATTTATTTTTTCATTGTGTACATATTTTTTTGAATGCTTTAACTGGCAACAATTCTTTCTCACTTGGATATTTTTGAGAAAATTTCCGTCATAAATTAAGAAAAAAAGCGAGTTAATAAATATTTTGCAAGAAAAGTGATAGTTAATGATCCCAAAATGTGTATTTTTGCTTAAATAGTTTACAATAGCAACTGAACAAGGGAACCTTGAGGAAGATATTAACATTTTTATTGTAATAATCATACGGTATCAGTTCTAATTTCATTTCTGCTAGCAAATTGTTCGTACAATTGATACTATTTTCTTCCTAAATTCTCCAGTTTTGACTAAATTTTCTAGTAAAGTGTGTTCAATAGCGAAAACATGTTTTAAACAAAAGCAAGAATAACTTTAAAACATGAAAAAACTCTACGGAAAATCTTGAAAGTTATGTTGCAGAAGCAACAGAGAGATAATCATCAGTTATGAAGAAGTTTTTGTTGAATTTGAGCCAATATCGAATAAATTTTTCAGATACACTTATCCCATTTCAAACAATTTTAGCAATAAACTGTTCATTTTTTATCAATAATCAGAAATTTCTAATTTTAAACATAAAAAATTTGCCACAAGTTGTAATTTTTGTACAAATTTGGGTAATTCAATGAGAAAAAAATGAGGAGGAGTTGAATCATGGAGTTTGATTTAAAAATTTCATAGAATATTGCCCTTAATGTTCATTTGAATTGAGATTCCTAAAAATAATCCCTGAACTGGACAAAAAAATATAAGGTTCGAAATGGAAAATTTCATGTGAAATTGACTAATTTTTATTTTACCTTCTCGAAAATTACGACTAATTTCACTGTTTTCCGAAAGTTTCAATATTGATTCTGCTACAATGAACCTTCTTTTCAGTGTTTAGAGCATTGTATAACCAAATATTTTGCTCAAATTAAGGTAAACTTCATCGTATTTCAATATTTTGAGAAAAAATTGTTGAAAAAGTCATTTTTTTATTCAAAAATTTGTATCATTGTCTCAACATAATGCCAATTAACAATATAGTCTTAGCTTATTTTTAAAATCTTTAAGTAAAAGTATGTTTAAAATTAGATCAAAAGCAACAATACATTAGCCAAAATTATGAGATTTCTACAATTTTTTCCAAATACTTGAAATTTTTGCAATTTTTTCCAAATACTTGAAATTTTTGCAATTTTTTCCAAATACTTGAAATTTTTGCAATTTTTTCTCAAAAAATTTGAGTTTGTTCGAAGTTTCAGTAGGTTTCAGCATTGTTTCAATTAGATAGAAAGTAAGATTATTTAATAAATTAGGTCAAATAATAGCTAACCTTATCAATTAGGTAACGCGCGCCGAGATTTTTGCGAAAAAATTACACAAAAACCAAAAAATTTTCGTTTTTCTTTCTCTTACCATCACACTGAAACCTTACCATTGGTATTCCCTATCTTAATACATTGTAGACTCTATACCCAATCTTAATACATAGCTGGCGGACCGGATGCTCTATTCCCTATCTTAATACATGGGGGTCCGCCACCTCCCCCCCACTTAACCTCCAACATCTACTACTTAGGGGAACCTTCTGGGGCAATTTGAGCAACTAAAATATCCATTTAGAATCGGAATAAAAGGTCAACTACCAACGGGCGTGCATATTAGGATCACGGGAGCCCCTTTGACTTGGGGATTTGTGATCAAATTTGGATTCTAGATCGGGTCTGACGGAAGTAACCGAACCAAAAAAATTTTTTGATTGATTATTTTGGTTGTGTGGTTGCTTTGAGCTACTTAATAGGACAGCTCGGGCAATCCGGGAACACATAAAAGAAGACCTCGGTGAGTTTATTAGGCAAATACACACCCACTTGAGAAGAAAAGGTGTTCCCTGCTCTCGTGCACTTGGGGCGTCCCGGGTGTGGGGGAGCTTTTTCATATACTTTGGTGATTTTCGATCAGAGGTTGCCTTGAGCTACTTAGTAGGACAGCTCGGGCAATCGCAGGACACCTAAAAGAAGACCTCGGTGAGTGTATTAGGCAAATACACACTCACTTGAGAAGACAGTGTCCTGGGCTTCGTTCTTTTGGAGTGTTCCGATCGAGGGAAGTTTTTTTCTTTAAGACTAAGTTTTATTTATCTGTTCCTGAATCATCACTGCTTTTTTTTTACAAAAGATTGTTTGATTGTAACAAAGCAGTGATTTGGTACGAGTGTGGCGGTAAAATTGATATTGACGAAAGGTCGCTGTCACCTGTAGGATATTCTTATCTGATAATCAGTTGTGTTTTGTGTATTGACTATACCTTGTGAAAACTTTGTGATAATGTTATACTAGGCAACTGGGTGGAGTTAGCATTATCTTAAAACTAAGCAACCCCTGTGTGTAACCTTAGGTGAGTCACTAATATTATCACCAAGAAATCTAGGGAACATTTTTGATATTGAAGAAGTCGAGTAGGCAGCGTTAAGTAAATTAATTTAAACTTATTTGCGGTACGTGTGCATTGCCATTAAATTGTACGAATATTACTATTTATTACAAAATATGCAGCGTAGAGACTCTTTAGAATCGACTACTAAGATTCCCAGGCTGAGAAAGGGAAGCAGCGAAAATTTAAAACTAGGCGTAGCCAATCTTCGTTCAGCAGCGCTTCCGACGTTTTTGTTGACAACGAATCGACTAAAAGTCAAGCTGATCTTTCAGTGAACGGAATGAAACTAAGAAGCGAGAAGAACCTCGATGGCAGTCAAGGGCGAAGTGCCGAGGTCGGACCGGCGAGCGAAGCGCTTGCGGACTCTTCGACGAAGGGGATCAAACGCTCGTCCGACCCGACTTTGAGCCAGGTGAGGATCTCGAACGGAAAGAAATCGAAAGGACGGAAGAGGCCTCGGAGCGTTCCGAGGTTGAGCCGCGAGAAGAAGTGTTGTTCAGTAGAATGTCCAAATCAGAGACTAAGACTCATTAGAGAAAAGAACAATCATCTCTGGTCAAGCAGAGCAAAAATGCGATGATGTCGAGTATAAGCCCGAGTGAAGAACAAACGGGTTCGAAAGCCAAGAAAAGCTGGAAGTCTTTGTACGATGAGCGCATGGCTTCACTGCGAACTGAAGGTCTATCTTCCAGCTATGACCATCCGGAGATAACCCATCCGGATGTGGATTTCACGCCGTGTCCAAGAAACGACATGAACAGGAAGGCGTTGTCCGCCTCGCCGACCAGGCCCAAGTCTG